ATACCGGTATAATAGCTATATTATTTCGTGAAATAAACTACGCATAAATTATGCTAAACGTTTTTAAATCTAATAAAACCGTTTGTCGGAATAGGTTTGTTTTTATTTTTTTTATATATATAGCTGTCCCTATTTGTTTTCGAAATAACTATATACACCTATGATACTTATTCATTTTTTTTTACCGTATAATTCACGTGTTAAACTCATCATTTTCCATACACACCATAAAGGGTATAGGAACGGTGTTTACATACCATCATTATATTATCTAGTGGTTGCTCGTGTTTTTATATTTTAGACGTCGAGGCGAGTGAAGAATGTGTCGGCTATAATAATATATTACCTATACACGGTTTACGATGTATATTTTCCCCTTCTGTTTTTAGAAAACGCTATTTTTTCTTCTTTTTTTTTTTTTGATCGGTTATGAAATTGATGTAAAAGTACGATTATTATTATTACAGCCTGTCTGTATATAGATAGCAAATTGAATATAAATGGCAATTTAAAAAGGTTGTTTTTTATTGCCCAGAAAGTTTATGAAATGCGTAGAAAAATGGTGAATTTCACGCCGCACATCTGTTTTTATTAAACCTCTATCGATTACGCAATGTAATCCGACTTTCGTTCGGAAACGTTTTTCGAATGATTTATCATTGCTTTTAACTCCGAAATAATAATGTAAAATTAGATTCCGACAAAATGACTGATGCGTATAGTCAGTAGTTCTGTCCCAGATGTCCGTAAAAATGTTACGATAATATTCTAATATTCTGTTATTCGAAGGAAATTTCAGCACGAGAACGGCGTTATTACGTACCTATCTATATTTAAAAGTATTTTGTTTTCCCTCGCATTCGGAAGTTATTATCAAAACGGAGGATCTTTTACTTTTTAAATCGCATACCTGCTAAGAAAGTTTTTGTTTTCGTTTTCGTTTTCGTTTTTTTTTCTTTGTATAATAAAAATTAACAATCCATAACCGCCGTTAGGGACCGAGTGGAGTGGTTTTCTGGTCGTTAATTATTATACAAAAAAATTTTCTCTGGTTGTTGGAAAATATATTTTAAACCTCCGTGGCTCCGTATATTATTAATAAAACGTTTGACCCGGCGCAGCGGGTGGTCCCGAGTTTATTTCGCCGTGGCGAATTTATAGTTCAAAAATAATTATCGCTCTACGTGGGTTTTCCAATTTCCCGGACGAAATCTTTCACAAAAACGAGATCATTTTTGATCCTATCGACATATATTATACGAACCCACTTCCCTTTTCCTCGACACGATACACCGCAAAAAAGACTTAAAAACCTTCAGCCTTGTGATTTATCTCCGTTATATTTTATCGCATTTGTTGTAAAGGTGGGTATACCGCGGTACCAACGTCAGATCATATTATTATTATTATTATTATTATTACATCGATATTAAAGAAAAAAAGAAAAATGGATTACTATTCGCATGAGGTCAAACATTTTTATTTCATTTTTTTTGTCAAATTAATAAATTTAAAATGTATAGTATTAATTTTTACGACTGAATAATTTACAATTTTTCGTTAAAAGTTTTGAACTTCAAACACTTATTAAAAACATAAAAATCGCTACACTTTTGATCAGAACAAATTGACAACAAATTATTATAAACCTTGTATATAATTGTCAAGCATTTGTACGAGTATACGGCACTCCACAAAAAAAAAAAAAAAAACTATTCGCAAAATGAGTGAAAACATTTTGCAATCATATCGTGTCGCTGATATAGACGAATAAAAACGAAATCTCTCCTCTAGTCTTCTGAAATATTGCACATCCGTTAGGCAACGTAATAAACTACGTTGACGATACACGCTATTATAATATTTTTCGTTACAACACACTACGAAGACGGTGCGTTTGAAACGATGTCCGATAACAGTTTAGCGAGTTCGAATCCGGACACCTAACCTAACCAATCCGAAGATGGGCCGTGGTCGCCCCTGGGCGTTCGGAAACGCGACGAAAACGGCGACCGCGATTTTACCGTACAAAACGACATCGTGACGGCTCTGGACCGCGGACGGATTTCGCCGAGCGCCCCGCCCGAGGGAGCGCCGGTGTTCACACCGTCCGGCCCGCAGAGTTCGGGGGGGAGGGGGGCGTTTTCGGCGCGCGCGGCGGCCGGGCGGAAAACCGGACCGGCCGTCCCCGCGGCGTGGCGCCGTCGCCGAACGAACCGACCGGCGTGCGGGTGCCGGCGCAACGGGTTCGACAATATTGTCGCGACGCGCGGGGCCGCGTACGGCGGGTGTGCGGGCGCCGGCGAAATCCGGACAAAAAAAAAAAAAAAACCGGCGCGGCGACGACGGTGCACCGTCGCCCGAACAACGCGCGGACCTGTCCCGTTACCGCGGTAACGTTCTTCGCGACGCCCGGCCCGAGAAGTGGCAAACGATAACATCGGGCGCGCGCGCGCGCGCGCGTACGGAACGCTTTTGCGCCACGGGCGTGCCGTCAGTGCCGCGCGCGCGGGGAAGGGGTGCGGGGGGGGCGCGGTAGGGCGCGCGCAAACGCCGGTCGCGTGACGATTCGTTTCGCGCGGGACCGGTCACGCCGCGCCGTTCTCTCGGGCCGAGCTCTCCGGAATTACACGCTGAATAATTCGGACGCGATTCCGCGTCGCCATGTCCGCGGGCGACCGGGGGCGCGCGGCAATGCCGCCGTAATAACAGTTATTAGACACGTCGACGGACGTTTAATGGGGTGAACCGGAGGTGGAGAGAAGAAGAAAAAAAACCGAAAAAAAATAACCAAACGCATACCCACGCGTTATTATACACGTACGGTATTGTCGCGCGAGCAAATGTCAAGTAGCTTTCGGAATTGTAGTGGTGTTATTATTGTGTACGTACATACACAGGGCTGTGTATTCCATATTATTTATAACGTGCGTACCTGCGTGCAAACGCGTAAATATACGCGCGCGCACGCACACACACATATATAAATATGGTGTGTGATACGCGTACTACCAGTTTTATAATACGCGGCGGACACACATATCGGCGGTTCCATTATTTCGTTTTTATTGCTATTTTTTTATTTTTTCTTTCCCGAAAACACGCGCCGGACGAGAGTTAATTAAAATACGCGTTATCGGCGGGCATAATGTTCAACGTTCGTGAAACGCGATGTTAATATTCGAACAACGCGTTACAGGTATTATTACGTTATTATTCGCGTATTGCGCAGTGCGCGGGTGCGCCGCGTGTACGATGTCCGACAATACCGCCGCGTCCAGCGTACGCGGGTCACGACGCAAAAAGCGTACGCGCCTGGGCAACGTCCGGCGGCCCGTGCCGAAATATCGGGACGCCCGTTTGCGCGTCGGCACACCGAAAACGACAAAAAAAAAAGGGGCGTGAAACAACAACAACAACAACATACAGACACGGGTTTTCGTTAAACAAGCGTTTAGTTTAGCGTTCTCATTTTTAACCGAATTCATGAAAATTTCCGGATTCCGCGTGTAATCATTCTGTGGTTAAAAATTGTTTAGATTTAATTAATCTATTAAAAAAAAAAACTCGATTATTTGAGTGGAAATCAATCGCGTTCGTAAACCTCCGAACTAGGCACATTATAGTCATAGACATAATTAAAATTATTTTAATTATTGTGATGTTCCATTATTTTTACAAAACGAAACCCAACTGATTACCTTATACAATATTATTACGGTACAAAATATCTACATTTTTAAACAGAAATACCAATACAATATTTGAAAATTTTATAGTAAATTTAGAGATGTGTGAATTTTAGAAAACAACTTAAGTTTTTGGGTAGTTGCATCAATCTTCAGTCGTATTGTTAAATAATATTGATGCGCAAACGATGTATAATACAAAAATCGAACGATGCGCAAAATGTCTTACGAAAAAGGTCAAAATTAACAATAATGATGCGCAAACGATGACCGCTCCTACGACCTGGCGAAACAGCCGATTCTTGACGTCTTGTTTTAATCGGCGACACCTACATTGGCGAGGATTGTATTCAATCCCACGTTTGTTCGACTTTTCTTACACCAAACGGCGCTTTATATTTTACATAGGAAAAATCCTACAAAATATGTCAATACACAGACTTTGATAGGAAATACCTTTTAAAATATTCCATTATTATGTCGTTTGAACGTATCAAGTCGTCTGTTATCACTTATGTGCCTATATTTATATATTTATTTACGAGTATTAACCATATATTAATAATTTCGTTTTTAATTTGTTATTTTATTATAAAAATATATTTGTTTCGATTCATAAACTATATTGTCTAAAGACGTTGGATACATCTTAACAATAATTACAATATTATACAACCGTTAAAATATTAAACATAATTCATAGTGTAAATACTAATTATACTACTTACATTAAACCTGTGTAGTTGGTTACTATCAATGGTCGACCATTTTCATTGTTAGATTATTAGGTTTTACTGTGATCAATAACATGAGTATAATCAGAAATGCATGTTGTTGATGGTTTGCGTTATTGTTATTAATATCACCTGGAATTACATGAACGTCTTTTATACTAACTTTTTCAAGATAAATTGTAAACTATCTATAAAATTATTTATATTAATATCAGGATAACGGTAAATACCTGTACAAAAGCAAGTTGACGCTAACTTCAAAAGACTTGAAATTATGTAAATGTTATTTTTATGTAGGCTATGTGAACTAATTCAGAGTGAATCACTGTAAAAATCTCAACACTGAAAAATAAGGACAATCCTAATGCCAATAAATAGCAAAATATAAAACTCACAAAATATCCCAACAGAACTTCACCAGAAATATCATGATAAATGTACAGTGTATATTATGTTTACCTATGACAAATGTGGTTTTAATAGTTTTCCTAAAAATAAACAAACAAATTTCACTTACATTTCTAAAATTTATTTTGATCAAATATACATATATACATTTTAAATAATTTACATTTACCCTAACAAAAATAAACAAATGCATATTAAACCTAACATTAAAAATACATACATTAACAAGGATTTTTCTAAAATGTAAGAACTTAGTCCAGTAAACATCCATATTTTTTTCTTAAATATCAGAATTATAGGGTAAGTAATAAATATAATATACACAGGCTATATTCATATATGCTTTACTAAATTTCTTTGGTAAGTATTAATAATATTAGTGAAAAGATCTCTAACTATTAACTTATATTATTATGCACTTAAGTGTATACCTTCATATGTTCTATATTATATGTTTTAAGTGTTACTATTAATTCTAATATTTTTACAGATTGATATTAAACGAGTTAATATTTAGTTATTTTCATATTGAGCACAGATTCCTAAATCTTAAAAATAAAAATCAAGAAACAACAGATTCTCAAAACCGTAGTCATTTCCCCACCACACCTAGAATTATTTACAATAGTAGTTTAATTTTGCTTTAATGTACATTATTTTTCTTAAATGTTACATTCTCAGAGTTTCTGTGTAGTATAAATTTTTATTTGTACAGTCAATAAAGTTTTTGTATAAATGATTTTTTACAAATATCTCATTTAAAAGGTTTTGAACCAGTATGAATTCTTGTGTGTTATGACAAATGTAATTTATGTCTAAATGATATTTTACATGCTTCACATTTGTAAAGCTTTTCTCTAAATGAATTAACTTATATCTCTTTAAACTGCTCATAAAAGTAAATGATATTTCTCAAACATTACATTTAAATGGTTACTTTTCTCCAGTATGAATCCTTGTGTGAACCAACAAATATGATTTCTGTATAAATGATATTTCACAATCATCACATTTGAATGGTTTCTCTAGTATGAATCCTTGTATGTTCCAACAAATGTGATTTTCGTTTAAATGACTTATTGCATACCTCACATTTAAATGGTTTCTCTCCAGTATGAATCATTGTATGAACCAACAAATTTGATTTATATCCAAATAATTTTTCACATACCGCACATTTTAAAAGATTCTCTCCAGTATGAATCTTTGTGTGAACTAACATATTTGATTTATGTTTAAATGATTTTTCACAAACATTACATTTAAATGGTTTTTTCCCTCCAGTATGAGTCCTTGTATGAACCAACAAATTTGATTTCTGTGTAAATGATATTCCACAAACATCGCATTCGAATGGTTTCTCTCCAGTATGAATCCTTATATGTTCTGTCAAATGTGATTTACGTCTAAATGATTTTTTACATACCTCACATTTAAATGGTTTTCTTCCAGTATGAATCTTTGTGTGTTGCAACAAATTTGGTTTATGTCTAAAAGATTTCTCACATACCTCACATTTGTAAGGCTTTTCTTTTATTATTTCAATTGTTTGTGTACTTGGTTTTTTAAATTCTTCTTCAGAGGTACTCATAAATCTAAACAGTTTAAAAATCATAATTAAAATTGAGTACCTTACATTAATTAATATCAGAAGTATAAACATGCATAGGCTGTCCGAGGACAGTAGGAAGTACATAGTTTTGTTTAGCATAAAGAATGTACCACATCCGCGGAAAATTCCCTACATTCATAAGTTAGGTAATTAATTACATATTTTATGTGTTATGATTAGGGTTAAAGACTTCTATTACTTAAACATTTAAAAATATGCATGTATTTATGCACTTAGAAATCAAGAAATATGCACTTAAAATATGCTCTAAAAAATCATTTTATTTTATTATTTTGCCTAATTATAATATTTATAAAAAAAAAACATTAATTTTTAAACAAAAAGCCAATGATTATTTTTCATTTGGCATATTTAATAAAAAAAATAAATATTGCTAAACAGAATTGAAAAAAACGAAATAATTAAACGACGCAAATATTTCATGCAGTGTGCACAATAATAAAACGAGAATGCAACAAAATATGATGGACAACTGGAGTTTACTTTTTATACACATTTTGGTTTTATCGGCCAGATAGTAAATTATCTAACCAATAATAAAAATATTATTTTTAAATGGAAAATTTACTAAAATGTTCTATTTTGTCCAAGCTAATTTAAGAAATTATTTCAAAAATTGCCAAATATATTCTTATTTTTTCTAATGTACTCAAATACGCATTTATACGCAATAATGACAAAATATACAAAAATATGCAAAATAAAATTTTAAATTTGATCTCCTGATGCTATAAAACACATTTGTTGATCACTAGGATTTTCCTAAAATACTTCTAAAAAAAAATATGAAAAAACTACCAGACTTTAGCACTAGTTATGACTTGAGTGTTTGGTCAGTTACATAATGACAAACAGAGAAAATTAAATTTAAGTTCCACAAAAGAAGAAGCCCGCGCCATCAATAGATTTTTTTAATTTTAAAAATGTCTGTTCAACTGAAATTCATCAACAATTAATTAAAGTTTATGGTCCACACATAAAAAAGTGTATCTGGCTTACAAATTTTAATTTGTGCCAAAACACTGTTGGAATACAGGCTAGAAGTGGTTGAGCAATAAGAATATCCACCGGTAAAATCATTGAGGTGATCAAATAACTACTATAATTGGATAGACAATTCAAAATTCAGAAAATTGCCATATAATTTGATCTCTAATATAACTAATGTGTGTCCATAAGAAATCAAATTTTCATAAGGTTTGTAAAAGTATGCAACACAAGTTACCAAGTACTTCGATGAAAAATATGTTGCATTTATCAAAAATGATATTTTTAAGTTATTCCATAATTAGGAATATTATATAAATTTAAATGGTGGACTATTTGGAAAAATAGAAAAAAAAGTCTTAATTTATTGTGTAAAAATTATAAAGTCATAAATTCATTTTCAAAATTCAATATATTTGTGTATCTTATTTATGAGACAGCCTACATATCAAAAATTTCACCTTATAAAAAATGATTAGGTGAAGGAAGTTTCAAAAAAAATTTTTTTTTTAAATTTTAATTATCATTTACATAGTATAAAGTACAAAAATAAAATTGAAGAGGTCATAAAAAATTTACAATAATCAATATTGCTAATATTATCAATATTTATAAAAAAATATTTAATTGATATAAATAAATTATACAACTATTAATTTTCGAGATGGTGGATGGGGGTTTGACCCTCCCCCTGTATATGTGCCTAGTATAAAACATGCAATATGAAATGACAACATTTAAGATTAAATTAGTTTTATTTTTTTTTTATAAATTAAAAACTGAAAAAAGAATTTAAAGATGCTCACCTTAGAGGGCAATTATCATTGTCAACTTTTCTTCCAGTATGCACTTTCATATGACGTTTTAACAATGATTTTGAAAAAGATGAGTCACCACAATTGTAGCATGAATATTTTTTTTTTCTAAGTTTTGGTTTTTGATATAATATTGATTCCATAGGATCATTTTCAATAGTAATTACACTTTGAAACTCACAACCGTTTATTAAATCAAATTCTTTTTTTATTTCAATTGTTTGGGTACTTGGATGTTCTATTTCTTCTTTTATGTTACTCGTAAGTCTGAAATATTTTTAAATCTTAATAATTTGTTATAAATATAAAAACACATTTGTCAGCCTGGCTACGGCCGGTAGGCGTTGAACGCAGCCGGGAGCCCCTGTAGTATTTGCCTGGGAATAACTTAAGGCCCAAGATTTATAAAATATCTTCATTTAACTACCGACTGTTTTGCAGATTACAGTCAAATAATAAAAATATAATTGTGTAAGCGAATAAATATTATACACCAATTATTGAACACTGAAATATCGCTGAAAATCACTTTTGTGAATCTAGCATATACACTTATATATAGTTTATGGGTTATATAGGTCTCTGTGAAATCTATTAATTTTCAGAAATATGACGGACTTTAAAACCATTTATGTCCATGGCCTTTTTATTTTTCACCTGTGGGGCTCCTAAGATTTTGTGTACTAGGCTAACACTACACTAGAGGTGTATACAATACAATATTTTATGTAGGTATAACAAAAATCATATTTGGTAAGTAGAGAATGATAGATATTAAACTCCCTCTAACAAAATTTATTGATTTTTTTAAATGTAATTCAAAGGTTATACTGATGAATACTCCAATAAATTGTAAACAGGGTATTTGATAATAGGTATATTGATAAAATTAAAATGAACAAGAATTGAAAAGTGTAGAATGGAAACTTATGGTTTTCACAATGGCAAAACAAAGAGGAACCTAAACTGATTTTAAAGATAATACACATAATACATCCAACTATTTAAATTAAAAATAAGAAGCAATACAAAAAATCTTTTGAAATTGTATCATTCAAAATATGTACAACAACTAAATGTTTAAGTTTATATAAATAGTAATAGGTATGTAAATAAAGTAAATTATAAATGCAACTTAAAAGAATTTCTTTTTAATTTATACAAAATGGTAAATTGTTACATAAATACCGAAATATTAATATTTAAAATATTTTATACTTACTTTTCCTATTTACATTAAAATAATAGTCAAGGTTCGGATTATATAGCAATAATTTTTTTTTAATTATAACAGGATAAAACAAAAATATCAGAATGAGATTTACATTTGTTTACGCACCAGATTCCAAATATGAAATTTTAAAAATTCCTTTTTTATTGCGCTATTTGAAGTAGGTATTTCAGATATTTAGTGCTGTTTAGGCTACCTGTGTACCTAAGTTTTAATATTTACAACATTTTATATTTACCTATCCCATTTACATTGAAATAGTTATTAATTAATACATTTGCTCACTGTAAACTTATTGAAGAATTTTCGATGCTTTGATCAACTTCCATAATAAATAATTAATATGTCAGCTCAATTTTGTTTTATCTCTGTGTTCGTGCAATGGGTAGGTATTTAAATGAATTGTTAAAAATTGAATAATATAATGTCATCAATAATACGCACACTAACAGAAGTTGATCGTCATGGGTATAATAAAAGAAAAAATATTACAACATAAACAATCGAATATTTTAACTCGGCATGTAGTTCAGTAGTTGACGCATTGTGATTTCTGGAACGCGATTCCGAAAATCCGAAACGGTATACGACGCATGCGTAGGTCATTAGATACTAAGTGCCATCAACAAATTCGTTGGTACGGACCGGTGTGAATCCGACAATTGTTTCGGTGTAACCGGTGTTACAATTGACGACACCGGTTTAATTTTCCGGCGCCACCGTCGCACGCTTAGATCACACGCTATGGATACAGCTATTCATCGAATATTTGATACGGACATAACCGAATAGAGTCGGGGCAAATGCGCACGCGCAGAGTGTACACCACGGGCGGCAATTGGTCGAATTCACGTAATCGCGTGTGACGTCACTGACATCGCCGTCTGGCGGCGGTGTTCCGTAATAATGACACAATGCGTATGCGACGAGTACTGTTACGCATTCGCAATAGACACCAGTCTCCCCCGGCGCCCGTTAATGACGGCGTCTTCAACTCGTCGTACGCGTTTATCGCGCGGCGGTGTCTCTGTCCAGAGTATACGGTTTAAGACCACGTGCATACGGCGCACACTATTTACACCGGTTTCGTCCGCTCTCATTACCCCCTCAACAACAATTAATACCTATTTTAATTAATTTTCATCGAGTACTTGTTTGCGGGAAATGAGAATTAATAGTATTGGTAACGCACTGATCATTTTAATAATTGAATAACATTTAATCGATAGTATTACCATTGTTAACATTGTTAATATTATTATTATTGGACAATGGCGGCGACATGGCGATCTCCGTCGTCGAATATCTATTCGCGATTGAATGCGAAAGCGTCGCTACCTGGTGGAGTTTAATAGAATTGCTCTAACGGGGAAGATGTACGTTTGAATACATTGTATTGAGACATTCAGTGTTGAGTATTGTGTACTGACTTCTTGGTTTCTTTGTAATAATCACGAATCTAGCTTTATTTGTTGATATTATCGACGACCATAATATTATTATTCTGGCTAAATGGATAATAAAAATGCGCAAATTAAATACGAACTTGTATTGAACTTACGTAATACATAACAGGGGCGGACCCGGATGTGGGGGGGGGGGTTGAGAGGTTAGGTCGGCTGACCCACAGTTTTTTTCCTCGGTAAAATGTGAATGTGACCCCCTCAAAATGACACGCTACATACATATACACGTCACCGCAATAACCAAAATAGAAATAATATTAAACAAATAATGCGGTTGTTAAAAGTAATTTATAAAATGTGCGCGGGCTCCAGAACGTATTTCTACGAAAATATAAATTATGAATTTATAAATGTGTTATAAACACATTTGTGACGTGTGGGAGAAGACGCGACGACCGGGCATCGAAGTATAAATAGCCAGCCGGCCGTACGAAATCGTACGGCCGGCGCGCATCGACAGATAATCTGCCCGGACACGAAACACACGCGTGCGGCACGTGCACCGGCCGCATTTACATAACGTACACCGACGGTCGACATTGTCGCTCACATAAATATATTTATCACACGTCGGGTAAAATTCCCCTTTTCTATTTATAGATTTTCTTATCGTATTATTAGTGGAATCTACGGTTGTTCCATATCGTTCCGTGTTATCGAATATCCGTAATGAATGTATGAGCCACGGTCACTGGTCGTTGTTGACGTATTATACGTATTATTATTAAACTGTTTTACCGTTTCGTCAACGGTAGGTCCGTTCGTTCGGTTCGCAAACCGTCTCACACCGTGTTGCGTTGCGCGCTTGTGTATTTGTCAAATTTAATATTAATGATGGAAGCTCCTGATAGAAAAAAAAAAAAAAATTATACCATCTGGTGGGGCAAGGCGATTAGTTAAGGAAAAAGAAAAGGCAGAAAATATTTTATACTCTTCCAGTCGGCAGTGCAACTGCAGAAAGAAGTTTTAGCCGGCTTAAACTTCTCAAGACATACCTCCGCTCGACTATGACTGAAGACCGGCTATCAAATTTGGCAATATTAAGCGTAGAAAGCGACATAGCTCAAACAATACATTTTAATAGAGTAATAAGTACATTTGCATCAATGAAAAAACCCAGAAAACTATTGCAATACTATACTTACTTTTATTTTTTATTTTTTTGTGTATTACAATAAAAATATAATTTTATACATGAATTATTTTTGTATTGGATTAGAATTTATAACTACCTTTTACTGTGAAAATGAAAGCAGTTATTGAAAACCGAGATAAAATAAATACACTGCGACTATATGTGTACAAATATAATAATAAATATGTATAATCTCTTCTCAAAATCTGAAATACTCAAAATTGTTTAAATATTCCAGGTAAGTTTGTTAAATGAATATCAATTTGAATGCAACAAATAAAAAAAAAACAATTAAATTTGAATTAATTAACAATACCAAAGTTTGTAAGTAAGTTTTAAATTTTACTAAAAAATTAGTTATGATATATGGCTACTCGTAAGTGTGACAGACCCACAGTACTAAAATCCCGGGTTCGCCACTGATACATAATATACAATAGGAATGGTGTTTAAAATGTACCCACCTACTTCGTGAGGTTTACCGTGAAGATCACTGGTTTGCAAACATAGTTTTAAAATCTTAATAAATGTATCATTTTAAATTTTCCGAGTGAAGCGAAAAAGCTTATGGTTTTACAAAGATGTTTATTTTTATTTTTTTTTTTTTATCAGTGCGCAACTTTTCTACCAGATTTTTAAGTGTAGCACCTAGTTCGTAGATCAGAGATGCCATAAGTTTTGCGTATTATACTATTGATATACCTATATACTTAAGAATGTGACAGTCTACATATTATTATGTAGTAAATATAGCTAAACAAAGTTCTCGGTGTAATTATTTGTAGAATATCCATAGAAATCCATGTTGTAATTGGATGGGTTCTAATTTTTTTTTTGTATTGTCTCAAGTATGAACAATGTTATGCACACCACTGGTTTCACCGGTTCTAGAGAAGCCATTATTACTTCTGGTCACGCAGTAATATTGCGAAATCTTTACCGCATTCAACGTCGTGCAGCACACGATGACGACAATAGTTCGACCGAAATTTCTGCTTCACGAATGGTACCTACGAAAAGATAACTCACTAATTTTACCTTTATACTGCACAAATAAGACACCAACTAACACTTATACAGTTGCGATGCGTGTATACAACGATGGTAGTACAGTCATTGTTTAAATAATACAATAATAAGGAATTAAGATACCGTATAACAATATAAGTACGCGGTAAAATTATCGTTAAACCGCGACGGAAATTTCAATATTATTCGGGTCGTCGAGACGCGTCGGTAGATTACACCCAATACGAATTAAGTACCTATTAAGTTTATAAAAAAAAAAAAAATATACCGTTCACATCAGGTGTATTAATTGTGTGATGTTAATCAAAAGCAATTTTGCTCCAATTTATAATGACAGCAATGTTTCTAAAAAGAAATTTGACTTGGGAGGTACTTTAGCGAGGCAATTCTTCGATTTTCTCAAGAGTTTTCCCAGAAAATGTGAAAAACCATGGAAAAACACCGGAAAAACGTAGGAAAAACAGGGAAATCGGTAGATTTAAAAATATTATTAAAGATAATATATAATGTTTATTTAATTATTTTAACATAATATGACAGATATATAGTTGACAAAGAAAGTATACCATCAACTGAACTCTGCTCAGAATCGATTTTTCGTTAGCAGTAATTAATCGTTTCTAACAGATATACATTAAATAACCTAAAACAGTGGCTACACCCGTTTTTCCCATTATTCTAGAATATCTTTTTTAAATTACGGCACAAAAATGTCATAATTTATAATGTTTAAGATTATACAATTTTTTTATTTATATATTTATTAATAGATGTTTGATATTTTCGTGTTTTTATATGTATTTTTATTTGGTAAGTTATTCAAACTATACGACTTCAGAGAAATGCTTGCAAATTTATTACTAAGTACATTATAAGTTGTGCTTAGTGGTTTAGAAAAACAAATTTGAGTTTAATGCCACAATTTTTTTTCCCATGGATATTTAAAATCAAATTTTAATGAAAATAAAAATTAAGGCATTTCAAAATATATTTTATCAAACTTCGCTCTGAATCGTTTTTCGTTGGCAATGGTTTATCTTTGCCTACAAATATAAATTAAATAACTTTCTATATCCCACCTTCTCGACTTCTCACGTACAACTGTGGTTGTATTACTCTATGGGCTGCACCCGTCCTCGGTATCAGCTTTTTTTATTTTTTTCTTCCATTTCTTTAATGATTACAAAATAACTTATAACCACATTTTGTTTGGAGTGAGTTAGGTTGAATAAGTACACGCATTATATCAGTCGAGTCTAAAATTGGCTTACTAATACATTAACCTAAACTTTTCAACCAGTGGCGGATTTAAGGCACTGCGAACTATGCGGCCGCATAGGGCGGCAAAATTGTGCGGAATATTTGTTTGTTTTTGTCTATTACAATTACAATTATTTTTAAAATTATACCATTTCAATATGTTGATCGGTGTATTTTGATTTTGTATTTATTTTATTTTCAACAAAATGATATATATAATATATTTCTCCCGTGAACTCGTCAATGACGACGACGATTATGCTTTATTATAACTTATTTTATTGTTTATCTTATAGAATGTTGTTGCAATGTTAAATATATATATTTATACTGGAGTCTGTGTACCGCAACTTCAGCAACGCATGTCGATTACACCGAGATTACACTTTTATCGTGTTGAAATATACTATAATATTGGAAATTGGAAGACACGTTTTTATAATGCTCAAGCCACACGGAATGGTGTCGCCGCATGCGGCAAAATAAATTACGGCGACGTCACAATAACATACCGGGCCACACGATGCGTTATTACCACATGCAACTGCTATATTTTTATAATGTTCAAAAACATTTTTCTCTAAACTTAGGAACTTAAAGTAAATTAACAATGAAAAATTAGTTTAGTTTTAATGATGGGCGCCCGCAGGAAATTTATCAGAGAGGGGCAGTGTACTTAGTTAAGTTTCGAATGGCCCCCTTTTTTTTTACGTATAACCAAATAAGAATCAAACCGACATAAGAAGGAAAATCAAACACCAACAAATTATATCAAAATTGTATAAATTATCTAGTTATTAAAA